TTATTTTTCGCTATTGGAATCAATATTTTCCCATGTAACGACATTAACAAAAATTATGAAGTGTCCATTCATCAATTCAAATGTCAACAATGTTCAATCCAAACATTCCTAATTTTATTTCAATTCTATTGTTATTTCTTGATTTTAAATTCCCTTTGATTAGAAAATTTTCATTCAAAAAATTTTGTATTTTATTTGAGGCTTTTGAAATAATTGGTTTTATTCATTGCAAACAAAATTTAGATACTTAAAGAAAAATCATGAAAGAAACTTTTCTAGATCTAAAAAGATTTTTCAAGCGAATTATTTTGTTGAGAAAACAAACAATCTTTGATGGTATATAAAGTAAGTAGGCTACTAAAGATAGATAACATGGCGTTTTGAATCATAATTTCGTTGTATTTCATACGCATCAGAATAAAGGATCAACATTCGTTATGAGACTAATATCCTTTTATATGACTTTAATTCATATCATTCATTTTCATAATACAGAATATTATCATTGGGGCATCCAAGGCGTAACTGGTAACTAATAGGACTGAAATGTTTACATGAATTAGTCACTGAATTGTAGTAGTAACCAAAATATCATGCTATTCAATCTTGAGCCTTATTCAATTATGATTTTCAATGTGATCATCAAACTAAAAAGCAAAATAGATTTTGTCTAAATTTAAATAGCTGAAAGTAATCACCCGGAAGGCGACAATTAAAGTTTCCTGATAATTGGCGTTAATCAATCAGAAATACCTTCAATCTGAAGTCTGACAAAGGGAACCATAATATCAAGATACATGACCTTACTAGGAATACTTCAATTTGGCTGATAGAGTTTTAGCAAAACTAAGGCTAAAATAACATGAAATTGGTCACTAATTAGTGATCTTTTAGTGCATACATTTAAGTTCCATTCTTATTTGCATACGATACGTTCAGAAAGGTCACTGTTTGATTCCAAAAAACGTGGTATTTTATGGTTTACGTCACAAATTGACTTTAGTAAGACAACGAATAAAAACTGAGGAACACTGGGTAGACGTTTCATCCTAGTATGAAACTCCTTAGCTGTGGGAATATATGATCCCATAAGGGGTCAAACCCAAGACCTTCAGGACTCACAATTAGAGCTTGGTCTTTAGGCCAATGAGTTGACATCCAGTAGCTTACAGTTTTAGTTCTAATCAATTCACGATATTGCACAAACATTTCAGAGAAACCCGAAAATTCTAGGTTCAGTCTCTGGTAGAATCGCAATTCTGCACTACTAATGAGTTCCAGTGCATCTCGGTTTCCAATGATTATCTAATTAAAGTTAATTTATGGTGTAAACTAAGAAAGTAGTATTTATTTCATAACGATTTTTTGTTAGAAATATCGTTGATTATAATTTCTACTTTTCTAAAAACAACCTAGCTGAATTTACTTGACAAATCATTGGTTATGTTTTTTTATTTTTACTTTAGCCAACAAAAAACCAAGAAAAAAATTGTTTACAGAGTAAAATAAACAGAATACATTGATTGTGTTCACTCGTAAAAAAGCGAAAACGTAGTCTACAATATGCTTAATATTAAAAATTTCATTTATACAGATTGTCTGTTTTTCTTCTATATAAAAAGTTAGTTATTTGTTAGTGTTTTTACTGAGACAGTTGATGAACAAGAACTTCCAAAACGTGCGATTTTTAGAGGAAATTTTATTTTGTGTATCACACCCGTATATTTATCAATTTTTCATCAAAGTCACGAATCGATAAATGTTAGGCCGCTATTGAAAAACTGAAAACACTAAATGGCTGATTCGTCCTCGTATGAGATGGCCGTTTTTGAGACCGATTCTAATTTATACCACTTGGTGTTTCTAGCCATTGATTACAATAATAACGCAGAACCTAACCAGGTATTTTGGACCTTCTAACAGGACTCAGACTGAGTGTAAATGAACTAATAAACTAATGGGAAGTTTTGGTTTCTTTATCCCTAGTTTTCTTTCAATCCACTCTTACACCGAACATCTCCTTTCAAAGTAGATTATGTTTTTACGATGATGATTATATGATAGAAATAAATAAAAGCAACATGAACTCTCGAATACATGGTCCTTCATTTATATTTTCATAAAATGTTTATAAAGTCTAAGGAACACATATCTCTCTGCTTCGTTAATGAATTATAATTTCACTATTTACGTTAAATTATATGTGTATAATAGAGGTTTTTAGAGTTTAAATTAATAAATTATTTATAGCAGACAGCTTAGAATTTTCTACTTAATATTATTTGTATGGTTTAATCTTATTAAATTTTCATTCTTAAATCTAATTTATCCCATAGAAGCTTAATCCATTTACGAGTTCCAACTAGAGTTATACGTATAAAAGTTGACTTCATTTATACATGTTTTCCTTGCAAAAGGAGTACATAATGTGATGGAATAGTTCAGTGATGAAAACTCCGAAACGAGTGTGGTAATGAATTAGTAACTTTACCCATGAAATCGATTTCAAAATAATTGTCCAATTAACTGGTTGAATATATTAAGGAATTTAAATTTGAGATTTATGTACACCGATTCCCATCAAAATGTTCGTTAGGAGTGTCTCATAAAGTTAATAGAAAGACAACTAAGTGATCATAAACATATAAAATCTTACCAATCAGTTTTGAAGAACTTAGATACTGATTTAAATTAACATTATCTAACGCTGTATTTCATATAAGATAAAACAAGTGAACTAATATTAGTCTGTAATATCTATCAAAGTATTTTGGTAAATAGTTTCCCTCTGTATCGATTTTGGAGTTAACTTACTAATCAATTAGATCTGAGCAATTATTCTGAATACACTGATAAAAATACTGATTTCAATAGATAATCTAGTCATTTATAACATGGCACTACAAAATAGCTGTTCACATTTTGACTACAATCATTTCGAAGTGACAAGAAAACGTCCCCTATTAATTAAGATTTATATTTACTATTGGTTAAAGGTATATAAGAAACTGTGTACGCTAAAGTTCCGGAAATTTTTAACGTGTGCTGTATTAATGTTCAAAGTATGGGACTATCGCATTTTGTTCCACAGAATAATTTTGAAAGGCAAAATCCCATTTTATAATATCAACATTAATACACAAAATTTACTACTCCTAGTTTTAAAATTTATATCTCATCAGAGTGAAAGAATTCAGTAAACGTTTTAATACTGATAGATGAGGCAGAAGTAGTGACTAATTTTGATAGGTAATTCCCAAAGTTCTAAGGATAAGCCGTGATCGGTGAAATTTGACAATGTTGAGTGTGAAGCAGTGACTCACTGACTGAATTGAGAAACAGTTGAACAGGTTGGGAACGTAGGACATTGGATGTTAATTTGTTGGTCGAAAGGTTAAGCATTCGTCCCGAAACATAAAGATCCTAATCTCAATCATCACTAAAATAATAAATGTCGACTACAGGGGAGTATCATGCTAGAATGAGGCAGCTGTTCAGTATTTCCTGATTTTCAATTATTGTTTGACTAAGATTAGTTTATGATTGAAACTATGAAATTGAGCAATCCTCACGATATCCTTACACTGATGAAAACCTAGAGATAGTGAATTAAAAGATCCTTATGTAAGACGACCATACCTGGATAGGAGACTAGGCTAAATGTAGTCTTTACGACTTGTGAAAGGATAACTGCTTCAGGCCAGCCATGCCACTAGTAAACGGAAGTTTTTCATCTATCTGGATAACTTGTCTTCGAGTCGATTATTCTCCTAGATGCACATACTCTTTAACTTACTGTAAGTCTTGAGTCTCAGTACACTTACACATTTATAAGCTTTTTTATTTCCATCTCAAACCATATTCCTAATATTTATTCACTATCATTGTCATTAGTATTACATTATTATACTTCTCATTTGCTTTATGTTAATATAAGAATGACGATTTAAGCTAACGTACATTTATGCCTAGGCCCTTATCTTGGTTATAACTGGTATGATAAGGTAGCCAAATGTGGCATATATCAATCTATTTCTTTCTACTAAATCTGCAAACAAGTGTGGTAGACAAAATATAAGTGAAAGCCCGACATAAAAACAAAAGTGATTTTTTTAAAAACTCTCAAATAATAAAATGAAAAGAAAACCTATAAATATAACAGTACAAGAAAAAAACAACTAAAAAACCCAAGGTATAGGAGATAAGTAAATAAATATTTGTATGTAGAAAATTCGTTCGACTGTTGACTTATAAAATTCGTACACATATATAAATTGAAGCTCCTACATAATATCAAGCAAAGAATGCATATATATAGACAGATAATGTAAACTTGGAAAGCAAACAAAATGGAGCGGAACGATTAGATACCAGTATTGTTGTCGTTCAATGATCAATAGTTATTTGGATTAGGAAGAAAAACAATTTAAAGGTAGACGAGAACAAACGTTATGACAATGTCGACACGGGGAATGATAAACTAGTAAAGGAGTAAATGAAATGAATAGAACAAAATATCAGTAATAATAATAAATAGACAGATATACTTGTTTATTAGTAAGAAATAAAAACATATTTTGAATAATTACAACAATAATTGTATAAGAAAGTTTGCAGGTATCTCTGTGAAAAAGGCTATAGTGTAAATTTCAAGCTAAAGGCACTTAGTTATGTGGATGGAAACGTGAGGAGAACGAGTGGAAGAAAGATTAAGGCACTTGATGACATAAAATACGAAATGGATGTTGTGCATGTACGTATGTATATATGATCAAGAGGTCACTTGGTAAGATATTATTTCACAGAGTAAATAATAAATGCTTTTTACTTTTTACTTATTAATAATATCATTGTAATTATTTGAACCTATGTCAATGTTAATTTTGAAGAAATTAACAGATTGTCTGTTATGTTTATGTGCATTTTATAGATAAGCAACACAATAAATCTGATCATGGAAGTTAACTTATTTTCTTTATAGTCTAGCCTAGTCTATTTGCTTAAAATGATTCAATCATTAATGTAGCCGACCGAGGACGTGAAGATAAATCTATGGCTACCATTTCATTGGCTTGTGATGAATTTAAAGTTCTTTCTGTTGTTTCAGAAAAATCTGATACATTTTTATTTGATAAATCCCATTGTGTTTCATCCGTTATTTGACATGGATCAGTTGGTACATGATTAGATTCATTGTATTCTTGATTAGTTCTATAACTGCTGACAATATTATTACTACTATTACCATTATTATTAGTAGTAGTATTAGTGGTACATTGTCCTACAGTTGAACAAATACCTTGGACAACTGCTTTCATACAAATATCAATTTGTGCAGGAGTCAATTCAGTAAAATTACATCCTAAATTAGACATCGTAGACCAAGTTGATGAGTTCCATTGTGATGAAGAATCAGAACAATTCATACAATGATTATTTATTGGATTTAAAAATGATCGTGTATCATTACTACTATTAAATGGTTGGAAAGGTAAACTATTAGAATTAGATTTATTTGGTAAATTAACTAAGTCAGATGATGGAATAAAATTTCGTAAATTTAAACTTGTTATTTGTGAACTTTGATAGATTTTAGATATTGACTGATTCATAAATTGTGTCGTTGTACAGCACGTATCTGGTATACGAAATACACTTGGAAAATTAACAAGATCAGTAAAATGTTTTGAAGCTGAATTCAATGACTCCACCATTAGATTTGAATCAGTAAGTGATGTGTTATGATTCAAATCATTATTATTACAACTATCCGATATTTGTGAAGTAAACGAATTTTCAGATAAACGAGGATGCATATCACTGTCTGTAGACGATGTTGTTGTTCCAGTTGTTATTATTGGACTAGTAAATAATGACTGATTAGATGGTACAGTATTATTTTTTAGTCTCGAATCATTAATTGTTGATAAAATACACTTGGATTGATGACGGTTAACAGCGCTAACACATGTGAATTGTTTACCGCATATACGACATTGCATTTCTGTAGTGCGTAAATGCATCTGTAAATGAATAATTTTCATGTGATAACGCATACTACTTTTAATCTCATAGATTTTTCCACAAAATTTACAAACATATAGTTTTCTACCATTAATTTGACGTTCACATTCATCAATTAAAGTATTTAATTTATCAGCACTAGTTAAACGCCACCGTTTTGCATCAACTTGGGATTTATTTGTCAGTATTGTTGCTTGACTTTCATATAGTTCTGCAGAATTATTATTTTGCTGATCTAAAATATCTGAAGATATAGATCCATTTTCAAATTGTTTATCATTGTTTGTTGAAGTAGTTTTTCGAATTGTTGAAACTCGATTTTTTAACTGAATTTTAGAAATATTTCCTGTCATATTAATTTGTTTAATGTCATTATCGAACATTTCAGATGTTGGTTCTGTTCCAGGTATTACTACTACTTCCTCTAGATTAGCACATTTATCAGCAATCATAGAATAATTTTCATCTATATCAATTACACTAGATTCATTTGTGATTGGAGAAGAAAGGCATTTATTTGAATAGTTATTTGGACTATGATTTTCATTTACTGGACTAAATTTTTGACAAGAAGAATTAGAAATAGTAGATTCAGTAATGAAATTTCCATCACGATTTGAAGCAATGCCAGAATCACATAGATTTTCATCGCTTTCTTCTTCATCTTCTTCTTCAATGAGCACTTCAAGTTGTGATTCTTGTTGATCGATTACTTTACAATCACCATTCTAATCAGATGAAATAACAAAGGATCATACTACATATAGATCAAATAAAAATATGTTAAATGAGGTATTTCTCGTCAACAAGCATTCATAGATTTGGACAACAAGTATAATTAGATATAGGATATAGTGACATTAAAGTTACGCACATATAAACTGAAAATTTAAAGCTTCTTAGTTTGTTTTTTTCTCTAACAACAGCGGGAGCATCAACTGTTTTGCATCCCAAGGTGTATTTAGAAAATGATGAATAATGGAATATGCTTCAACGAAAGTAAATTGAGAAACAGATATCGCTTTTTTTCAGAATATTTACTTAATTAGTTGATCGATCGGGTAACTCAAAGATCATTAATCACTTTTAATGAACTAACGCATCAATCCAAGGTGTCAGTATATGAAACAGAATTAAAAAGAACATAAAAAACAAAGAAATATTTAGAAAAGAGAGCAAGAAAAACACCAGTTGATGTGTGGTAATAAGAAGTTTTTGAAACGAGAATGCATCACAATAATGTCAGTAAGGTCAATTTTCAGCTATTATGTTTACTATAGTAAGTCAATAATTTTTAATGTCTTGAGAAATCTAGCCAGGAAGTCTACACTTTTTATACATTTCAAGTCATCAGTTAATAATTGTGTTAATCATTTCAATGATTGACTTTAAGAAAATGTTACGCTTGGCTTTATCATTATAAAAATGAAAGTTCAACTACCGATAACACGCACTAAAATAGAAACATCTATGATTAAATGTTTGTAACCATTAAAGTAGTTGTACTTCAGTAATTATACTTCAATACCACACTGTAATACAAAATGTAATGATGCGAGACATAATAAAACGTTATTATGCATTTAGATATTCTATAGGAATTGTAAATGAAGCAGAATTACATGTATCAAAAGATCCGCCTGGATATATGTCAATAAGATAAATCCAACTTCATGCATAAATAAAGCAAACTCTGGAACTACAAGCTACGCAATTTGGCTCCACAAAAAATAAGCTGTTTTGAGACAATGACATTCCAATATCGTCAACAATCTTCGCATTTGAAATGTCTAGTACATATTAGTACAATAAGAAGCATAGTTAGTCACATTTTAATCTTAATTTTGGATCCTAAATAGCTGAAGACTTAAAGAAAACAGGAAATACCAAAGTTACTTCCTAAAAATGTAGAACTGAACGTCGGTCCAGTTAAACAAAGATATTTTAACACATCAATAAGTACGTTTTTATACGTGCTGATATTTTGGAAAGTGAAAACTAGCTTCAGACCATAAAACTGTTTTCAAATAGTTTCTGTTGATTTTTCTCATTCTAAACGATGAAGTTATTGCAGTTAATATAAGGAGTTAACATTTAGATTTATCTCAGTAGTCTAGAAATCTAGCTCTTACAGTCCAGTTTATGAATACAAACAAGTTTGAAGGTTCTCGGATTTGAACACGAGTATTACTATCAGGTGCCCATAGATGACTGAAGAATTTTGCAACTTAGGTCTCGAAACGTCACCAAACATTTACTAAGAAAATGACGGCCATTAGTATAAAACGATAAAGCGTATTGAAAAATAAAACGCACGCAATCTGATGAGTTTTTAGTCATGAATAAAATTAACAAATCGTCAAAAGAATGGGCAACTAAGTACCATTCTAATCAACATAGGCGTCATAAAAAATTCCATTTAGTTATCTCTTTTAGCCATAGTCATCCATGTTAGTGAACTATTGAGGGAGAACGCTACAACACAGTGTTCCCAAACGAACTGGCTGTGTAAGATCATGCTTAATATATATGGTGAAGAGTAAGGAAATATTATATTACAAGCAGTAATACCCAACTTCAAAAGTCGTGGAATAAAGAGGCTCTTGAACTCTTTAGATTATAAGATCACATTATATTTAGATCAAAAAATGTTTCTAAATCATTTCAAAATCCCGTAAGACCTATCAATAAAAGGAAACCAGAGTTCAAAAGTAACTAGGTATTTCGGCTTTAAAACTTCCAGGAGAAATTATTAACCTCTCCTCAATTAAACAGAAAATGAGTTGCTATAAAATCTTAGGCTTCGGATAAACAAGACAATAGCTGTGTGAGGTACAAAGATGAAATTTGCGTACAGATCTGTAGGTTAGTTAAGTGAAAACACCAAAAATCCGAAAGATTATTTCCTATTTGTAAAATAAAACCATAGTTGATTTCAAATTTAGGTCTGAAAACTGTAAGAACCTATATAAACGACTTAACTCACTTCATTTAAAGATTGAACTTTTATAGAACAAAAGCTCATTGGGAGATCGTTTTTTATCATGGGACGTGGGTAAGATGGATACCTACAGAGCGTTTGAAAGCTTTTGAACTCATCAGTTTCCCCTTTAGACGTTTTGCACATACTAAGTATTACATAACTGATTTTTTCCATTAAATGAAATGAAATCTGGAATGCTGACAGAAGTTCTTTTGATGACAACCTGTTTGCCAATACTGACGCATTTTGAACCTGTGAATTGTGTATATTTCGGTTCTCATAACCTTACCATTTTCGTGAATTTTTCCAGATACTCTGTATTTATTTCCTGTCCATCATGTTCCGCGCACTCACCATCACTACACGAGCACTTCATAACTCCAAAAATGCACAAACTCTCCGTTCAACCAAGGTCACCAGTAGACATTTCACCGCAGTAAACAAACAATCTCGACGACCCGAAATATGTTCAATGTCTACAGACCATCTATTAATCCAAGATGCACGACAACGGTTTTAGAATGAATATAAAGTGTTTACTAGCTGAAACTTTCAACTCGAACATGGGTAGGCAATCTTATGGAAGACAAAACACTTTTATACTTATGGTAGTTGAAAGTTATTCAGTTCATGCAACACGAAATTTAAAGGTTTCAAAGCATTGTGCATCATTACCTCAAGAAAACAGCATGATATTACAACATGTGTCTAATCATTAAGCATCCAGTAGCTGTAAGAATACCACATGCACATTTTCTAACACGCTACTCATATCCTGAAAGACTGCCTAACAAAAGTGATTGTGTGTTGGCTCAAACATTACATGTCGACATAACAGAAATGTAAAGGGTATGTAATGACCTACTTTTATCAAGAGAACGCAATGGGTTTAATGGGAACAATCATTATTATAACCAATTTTACCGATGATTGTTTTATTGTGCTCTTTTGTTTAACTGTGCTAAAGACAGCCATATTACTACTCGATTACTATCCATCACTTTCCTATGGACTGTGACCTTGTACGCTTGTACTCTCGCCCACTAATTCCGCTTGTATTCCTTTTGGTAAAATCTTGGTGTTCGTTCGACACCACAAGATCGCCAACGAAATAGATTTGGATACTCTCCAACTTCGCCTTCTGGTATCTCTGGTACGCGCTTTCTTGTAGTGATGTTCATAGTCACTCGCGACTCAACGCCATGCGGAAGATACTCGCACGTATTTCGAAACTGCCATAAGTGCAGTGAAAAAAAGGTTGGAAATGAAATCACCTACTCTTCAAACTTTTCGGTAGTCTTAGATTGATGCTGATGCACGCCGATGGTCAGGCTTTCCTCAAATCATTCTCACCGACAAAAAATTTGATGCTCACTACATCTGAGTCTCTCTGCGATTCTAAGTCACAGTAAGAAGCATATTATTTCTATTTCGAGACGAACAAGCAAGAGTGAAAAGCTATGTTCTTAAATACAAAAGTAGGTTTCTTGTTGTGATATGGGCTATAAAAATCTGTACTAACATTTGATGTAAAATTCCAAACTGAATCTGATCACCAAGCGTTAAAGTTTATTTACCGTCTAATTACGTCATCTCACCAATCATCTGCCATGGTCCTGAGATACAGCATAGATTTCAGTGCCTGTGCTATCACCAATAAGCATCCAACGACTTTAAGCATACCACAGGTAAATTTTCTAACACGCTATTCATTTCCTGAAAGACAACCAAAGAAAAGTGATTGTATGTTGGGTCAAACAATACCTGTCGACATAGCAGAACTTGTAAAGGATACTCGCACGTATTTCGAAACTGCCATAAGTGCAGTGAAAAGAGGTTGGGAATTAAATCACTTACTCTTCAAACTTTTTGGTAGTCTTAGATTGATGCTGATATACGTCGAAAATCGAAAACCGTCCTGCTTGTTTAAACAAGCCATGATACAATAAACCTGTCCCATATACTTGCCCTGCATCTTACGAATCGTGGCAACGTATACATGAGGATTATTGCGGTACATTTTTTTGACTTATATCACACTTCATTTACTACTGGTTTATATTCCGAATGGCAAGAAGCGGCACCCACGAACAGTCCCAGCAGAAACTTTACTCTAAAAGTGATGAAGAAGATATGTAGTCTTGGAACTATAGCCAATGTATTGGCAATGGATAATGGAATCAATTTCACAGAACCATGACATCCTAAGTTTAATGGTTTAGCAGAGAATGTTTCTGGATTTTGAAGATTGCTATCACATCAGTGAATCCAAGTACTCTAGACTGGATAGAAAAAATTACTCATTTATTCTTTCGTCGGTATAGTAACGCAGAACACTCAAGAACTCATGACAGTCCATCTAAACCCTCTAACTGGTCCCAAATAACAAACACATACAGACAGCCGTGTGGCGGACGTGGTAACTAACAAATATATTGTAAAATTAAATGTTTTATGTCATTGCAACAATGCAATACAATCTCATACTGGGTGCTTCCAATGCGAGTTCTTTTTTATGTCTCATCAAAGTTCTGGGCTTGTTGGTATTAGTGGGTCTCCGTTATTTTATTTCAAACTTACACAGCATCTGCAACAAAATGAGAGATTATCAGACTGTTATTTACTTTTTGTTAGATATATAACAAAAGGCTTTCAGTTGGTTTTACTATTTTAATTCCCGAACGAGCTAAATACTTCAAGCGCGAGAGTCTCACTTTTAAACACACAATCCTGCCAACATTCACTATATGGTAATAGGTGATATAGTCCCCATACAAAACTAGGAAGGAAGTAAGCATTCTAGCTTTAATTTTAATGGGTTGTTGGGAAAAGACGTCGGGCCGCTTGGAAAAATAATGAACGACGATAAGCGCATACTATTTGTTGAGATATAGACTAAAATAACCTACAAGAACCCTCTGCTAGGCCTCAGATGATAGTAGACCTGGGTGGTTTTTCGAACTGTAACATCTTTCTTAAGTTCTTGCTGTGTGACATATATTTGCGTTTATCTCGGGAAACCAGTATATGAGTTCTGCCAAAGATTTCATTTTGTCATCACCCAAATGCCTACTATGGAGACCTTCAAGAGTAGATTTACGTAATGAAGGAGAAATAATAACACGATCACTTAAACAGAATACCAACAGGAATAGTGGATATTAGGTCCAGCAGGGCTAAATATATGGGAAATCTACGATTAAGATTCGTACTAAGGCCTTCGATCATAACACTGAGTATATGCAGTGGTATTGGTTCCTAACCACAGGATCTTTGGAGCTGAGCTTATTATTACTGAGATTTATATTCAACATGTAACACTTGGAGAAGGTCAGCAATGGTGAACACGAGAACATTCATCCATTCAATCGGATGGCATGGCTCATCCTAGCAGACGTGATAATTATGTGTAGCTTATTACTATTCGCACTAAATATATTACTCTATCCCCAACTCAAATGTATTCTTCAGAATTACTGAGTATCATATTGTTAGTTGTCACGATACGATGAGTCAGTGTAGACAATGGTGTGACACTCACGTAAGATCTTGTAGATAATGAGTAGTCTCATCATTACGAATCCACAATTTGCGGATAAGGTCTATGATTAGAGTAGTACTAATGCCGAATAAGACCATAATTATATATATACACTCAAGGTATCGACTAGTTTCTCGAACGAGATTTGGACGGATTACAGGTAAACGTTGCCCTAAAAGAACGGTCTACAGTATCAAGATCTTACAATGACTGTCGAGACATGTGTTCAATATATTGAATTTTTCGTTAGCAATTAAAACAATACACTATTGTTGAACCACAGCTGAGGAATGTGCTTAGGGTTTTTCAAGATGATAAATGAACTATGAGGATTCACAATCTGCAACAATAGTGAATTGCTTTCCAAAGCACAGCTAATTGTCCTTTCTAAGTTTGCAAATAACCTTGTCCAGAAACAGTAAGTCTGCCTACAGCACAGATTACTGGTCTATCTTTCTGCTGCAAAACCGTACGAATACCCACAGGCGATGCATCAGTGATAAGGACAGAATATACACTAGAAGAGTAAGATCGAAGAATAGCATCAGATTGAATAAACTTGAGAAGACTTCTTAAGTATGGCTCCGCTTCTGCATCCCATTTATATGAGTTGATGGTCAGCACTTCGAATAGACAGTTGACGAAACTGGAAAAAATGGGATAATACTTAAGTGAACCTAATATTGGACGCCATCCCAGAAGGTTTTTCGGGGATGGTACATTTGTGAGTGGAGCTATTCGCCTGGTAAAACCATAACCGTCAACTAAATATCAAAGACATTCAAAGACAGATAAACAAAATGAACATACGTTTGGATTCACAGCAACGTTCTTTCAAACAGACGATGTAGTATAGCAGTAGTTCACTCATTATGCGTTAATTTATCAGGACCTTGAATAATAATATCATCTTGATAAACTTTTACGCTTTTAAGATCACTGACTAAATTATTCATCACGTCTTGAAATATAGCTGAAAAAACTTCAACCAAATGGAAGCCAGTTGTGTATGTATGATAATGAGAAGTATTTGAATTACCGTATTAACTAGGAACACTCGAAATAGTGCAATTTAAACCAAACAGAACTAGGTGAACATGAACTAACGTAGTGTATTTACAGTTCAAAATCAAACAGACCTCAAGTACGAAAAAATCATTAGTTCATACAATCAGCCCAATCGTCACAGCTTAAATTGGAATCTAAGTTTCTGTAATCCATTGAAAGTCTTCACCTTAGGTTCATTGTGTGTCTGTCGGATTGTGTTGAATACAGAATCTGTATGATCTAAAATATGGAACGAACTCACCGAGGTCCTGGAGTTGTATATGATCAACGTATCGGTTGTATACCAAAATCACTGATATCTAGAATTCGAACCATAGATATTCCAACACTATCCTTCCCCACGAGATAATGTTGGGACCTTATGTCGCAATGTTTTGAACAATTTGATGTTTCCAATTTGCATTATCTTCTCATGTTTCACACCTCGATTATTATATGTGAGTATTTGAGGATACACACTAACGTATAATTTGAGGTAATAATAATAATAATATATATTTCTGCATGTGCAGGTACACACCGTTTTTACAGGCATGATCTATAAATTACAACATTTGTTGGTTCACAGAATGTTTTCCAACTTATTAAGTTTATAGTTGTTATAAAGTGAAATCGTAGAGCGCTTGCTGTAAACTATGACCTTGGGAGGACGCGTACATCAAGTTTGTTTCAAACGTCAGAAGTTTCATAGCCGTGCTCTCAGAGCAAGATTCTGAAGAAAAAAGAGAAACAGAAGAGCAGCAAGGCACTTGTAGATGAACGCAAAA